ATATTTTTTTAACGATTGATTTGCAATATTTATCAAGTTTGCGTACAATATGCAATAATTAATTGTAATATGATTAAAGATTCTTACGGAATTACTGTGCCACATTTTTCCTTTTTTTATTAAATTTTTTCCCTTTTAATTAATCTTTCTTGATTCCCCTGACAAGTACTTGGTCTAAAAAGTTTAAGGTTTATAATATGTTCAGACTATAGGATATATTACATAATTTGTATTTATTTTATTTAAATTTGTAAATATTTAGATTTAGATTTCTGATTTCCTTTGTGATTATATAAGTAGTTTCTTAGTTTCATCTTTTTAATATTTAAATTATTTAAATTGTAAATTAGGATATCTTGTAACCTATATGTATTAACTCATAATTTTCCCAAAACCTCACTAATGTCTTGAATGACAATGATGAACAAATTACTCTGTGAAACTTTCGTAAGTTTTGGATACATGTAGAACAATTCAACCTAAAGTTTCGGCAAATTTATTCTGATTTTTCGTGGATACATGTAAAACAATTCAACCTCTGTGAATCAGGTTCCGTCATTGTCAGGCGTCGGCAAGAGATGGGGAAAGTCCGAGTCAAAGTAATGGACGTGACAAACGGTATTTTCTTTCTGGCATCATTACGCATCCCTACAGGGACCAGTTCTAAGCTCCTATATTAATTACTTAACTACTAATTAAATTTTCCATGGAAAATTAGTGAAATTTACACGCAAAAAGGGGGAAAAAAAGTACGCCAACTAACCAATTTGTTCTCAAACTGCAGGCCGTTGAGCGCAATTTTATCTATGATTATGATCGCCATATTCGTGATAGTTAAAATCTGTTGCACGTGTTATGAATTAGACGTTCTCATTTTCAGCTATCGAGAGTAATAATTAGTTACAGAACTCTTTTTTTAAAAAGAAAAAGAAAAAAGAAACAGGATGATCACATTGTTTGGACTAGACTACACTTATCTTTACTTTTCACACAATTAGTGTCCTTTTTGTCGGATAACGGCTTAACATAATCCAAATGTTCAACGCCAACCTTTGATGACCATTTCAAAACTTAAATGCAGGCCAAACTTGCTAGCAGGCAATACTTTGTAGTACAATCCTTTATATATAAGTCATGCATCAACACTACAATTTCACATAAACCCAAAAACACAAAGGATAGCACTACCAGTAATATTATAATATGGCGCACAGTTTCCTTTTCCTCTCCATGCTCGCACTAACCCTAGCGGCCACCTTCGACGGCATCCACGCGGTCGAGTACGTTGTCACCAACAACGCCGCATCCACCGCCGGCGGCGTCCGATTCAACAACGAGATCGGAGCGGAATACAGCAGGCAAACCCTAAGATCAGCCGCGGAGTTCATATGGAGGGAGTTCCAGCAAAACTCTGCCGCCGACAGAAAAGACGTGCCAAAAATAAGCCTATTCATCGAAGACATCGACGACGTCGCGTACGCAAGCAACAATGAGATCCACGTCAGCGCCAGGTACATCGGAAAATACTCCGGCGACGTGAAGAGGGAGATCGCCGGGGTTCTTTACCACGAGTCGACTCATATTTGGCAGTGGAATGGAAACGGACAGACTCCGGGATGGTTGATAGAAGGAATCGCGGACTTCGTGAGGTTGAAGTCTGGCTATGTTCCCAGCCACTGGGTGAAGCCAGGAGGAGGTGAAAAATGGGACAAAGGGTACGATGTTACTGCTAGGTTTTTGGATTATTGTAATGATCTTCGAAATGGAGTTGTTGCTGAGCTTAACAAGAAGATCAGGACTGGTTACAATGATAATTTCTTTGTTAAGCTTCTGGGGAAAACGGTTGATCAGCTCTGGAGTGATTACAAGGCCAAGTATGGAAATTAGGACGATGTACTTGCTGAATTAATATATATATATAATATACATGCATATTGTACTATGTCAGTAAATTAATTTCCCAATAAGAAGAATGCTCATTGTGTCTGGAGATGTACAGGATATATAGAAGTATTACCCCCGAATTTTAGTCATGCTATCATTTTGCCCCCTAAACTCCGAAATCTATTCTGGACGTCCCTTACGCTTTAAAACGTCATTACTCTGGCCCCTTATGTTAAAACACCGTCAATTGGATGCTGATGTGGACGTAAATTTAGTGATAATATAAAAGGGTAAGGATGTAGGCTCGTTCATTTCACCAATTTAAATTTAAAATTTGAGTTTTGTTACAATAAAAAGCTCCCAGAAACAGTCACATCTAACTTTTTTTCTACAGTAAAAAGCTAACGTCACATCTCAACTCAATTAAAAACTCGAATCAACGATCTAAATGAGCCCGTAATTTACACAGGATAAAGTCATATTTGTTTGTTTTCCTGTCCAATCGTTTTTTTGGTAAAATAAAAATAAAAAAAAAACAAAACCCAAAATCTGAAGCTTCCTGTGCATGCGTTCAAATGGGAGGTACGCTTACTGATGGGGATGTCATGTCTGCCGTCTGGACGATGCTTAATAGGGTTTTGTTTCTCTCTGTCTTTCTTATGTTGGCTGTGTGCTATAAATGCTAACGAATTTAGAAATTGTTAATTAATTTAGTTCGGCAAATCAAGATCGACTCAGGAGTAGATAAGTAATTTTATCCATTGAAATTTGAGTTTGGTCGGGATTTGTCCAAATGGAGTTAGTTTTGTTTGCTGCATATATAAGGGCTGTTGGTTCCTAACAAGGACTAATTAAGTATGTGCTTGCTTGTTCTTTCTTGTGTCTGAATCGTTGTTTTCAGTTGCACCTGCAAGAATTAGTTGGCCACATAATAAAATAATAACCCATTAATATTATTTATTTAATGATTTAATAATTATTTTAATATTAAAATTTTATTGGCTATAAGAGGTTACAACTCTTATTAAGAGATGCGTCTGTATCTTATGAATGAATGTGTACTTTGATGGAAGACATTGATTCATAGTCTATAAAAAGAGTACAGTCCTCTCTCTACCTAATACTTGTATATCTTCTCTCCATCAAAGAAATACGTTAAGATTACAAAGAGTCTAGAGAGAGAAAGATTCTACTTCTCATTCAAACTCTCTGTGTAAGTGATCTTCTTCAAATCAAATCATTGTGTCAATGTAAGCTTTGAATTCTAATTTTGTGAGAATCATGATGCTCTAAAATCTCTAAATTTTATAGATATAAAATTTTACTATCAGAGCAATTAGGTTTTTAGAACTCGTGATTTTCCTCTAAGATTTTTTTCCAAATTATGCATGAACCCTAGAATTTTAGTAACCAATGAAACTTTCTTCCGCTGCAACTAGAACGATCTTTGTATTCTGAGTTTTTACTATATGTGATGGTTTTCATACTTCAATTTACACTGTATGGTTTGGATGAGATATAATTATTTGTGCGTTATTTTTGGTTTTGCCGATAACTGTTATATTCCCATCGTTACAATATGATTGTTCATGCTATATATGAATCGAAAAAGAAAATTTGAAGTATGGTATATATTTGGTGTCTCCAATTGATCAAGACAGCGATGCAGTGAGAGAAAAGTCAAGCAGTTAGAGAAATCTTTTCCCGAAGAACCAACTCAAAACTGTTCTAACAATTCGTCGCAACACATCAAACGACTCTTAACATTAAAATCCCATTTTGAGATGAACAAAAGTAATTTTTCTGATTTCAGCACTCTCTAAGCACAACACATTTAGCATACCCACTTTCTGCCGTTGCACCATGATTCAAAAACCATCAAGCTTCAAGATCGTTAGCCATTAATTCCCCCAAAGTCCACTTTCTATTTTCAGCAATCAAATCCTTTGATTTTCAGCCCTTAAGCATGACAACCAGATTTTTCTTAAGAGGCTCACCAATTTACAGTGCCAACCAAACTTACCACCAATTTGCAGCCAATTTGCCAAAAATAATTTTCAAACAATTTACCAAAAATAAGCCAACACAAAATGCACTAACAATCTCTCCCTTTGGCTATTTTTGAAAAAATTAACATTACTAACAAAAAGAACCTATTACAAGATAAAAGATAAAATCCAACTAAGGGGGTTAGTTGAATTAAGAGTTCTCCCCCTTTTTGACAAATTATAGCCAAAGTTAAAAATAATACTAATAGAAAAACCTTTTAGAAGCTGTTGTCACAGAAAGTGTTGCAACACCTGATATAACACTTTTCTACAGATCATCTTTTAGGGTCATTGATCTATGCAAAACGCTCCCCCTGAATCTTGTCTCTGCCTTACTCCCCCTGAATTCAACACTCTCTGAATATTGTTCTTATCACCTGTCAAATGCTTGGACCAGCCACTATTACTACATCCACAACCACTAGTACATGCTTCTAAAGAAGTATAAGTCCTATGACACCTCAAATCTGATTTCCTTACCCACACATTTTTCGCTCACATCAATCTTCATTCTAGGTGTCCTTCTTGTGAATGCAGAATTTGGTGGATTAATGATCATACCTCTTTTTAGAACATTCAAGTATTTGTAACATCTAGGTCTAATATGGCCAGGAAAATTATAATAGTGACATGTAGGAACAAACCTTCTTGACTTATGCTGAGGGCGTGCAAGAACAACTTTCTTACAGGGGATAATTTGATGCTCAGGTGCGGGTGTCTCCTCTACAAATACTGTCTTGGATGTTGAGCATTCACTAGTATAACCAAGTCCATGACGATCACAACTTGCTTTTCCTATGGAGAGAATATGATCTAATTTGGTGATGCCGGAATTCATCATCTTTAAATTTTTCTGAGTGCTCTCCAGTTTAGCCCTTGTTTCCTTCAATTTCTTTTCTCTCTCTGCAGCAAGCAATTCATAATTATCAACAGCTCTCTTCAACACATCATTCTCTTTGACAAGATCATCGACGCGTTCCCGTAGAGACTTATTTATTTTACACACTTTAACCTATTTGCTGAACATGGTCTTATAAGCTTCCTGTATGGCATCAATAGTCAACTCCTCACCATCACTGTTACTTCCAGAACCTGAAAAATCTCTTTCGTTTGAACTATTCACGGAATCTGTTACAAGCAGTGTTGCAACACTATCTGCGACACCTTTTGTAACACTGTCTACAGAAACGTCCATATCAACATAAACATTGAAAACAACATAGTTGCTCACATGTTCGTCATCTTCCTGACTACCTTCTGACTCTTCATCACTCTAAGTTGCATTAAATGACTTCTTCTTCTTGAAGATATTAGCGCATTCGGATTGAATATGTCCATATCCGTCGCACTCTCGGCATTGAATACCTCTATTTTTTGTCTTCAATTCTGTGCTATTTGCTATAGATTTACTCTTTTGAAAATTACTGGAGTTGCCATTTCTTGAATTCGCATTCTTCCTATTGACCTTCTTCATCATCTTGTTGAATTTCTTCGAAAACCTCGTTATGGACTGGGCCAAGTCTTCTTCATCATCGGAATCAACTTCGGCCTGAAAGGCAATGCTTTTCTCCTTCTTTCCTTCCTTGTTTTCATCTAGATTCATCTCCAAAGTGTGCAAAGAACCCATTAGCTCATCAAGTTTCATTGTTTGGACATCCTTGGCTTCCACAATAGCTGTCACCTTGTAAGTAAACCTCTATGGAAGAGACCTCAAGGCCTTCCTTAGAAGCTTCTCCTCTGATATTTTCTCTCCAAGGGCAAATGTCTCATTAGCAATATCACACAATTTTGAATTAAACTCAGAATTGTTTCATCTTCTTGCATTCAAAGATTCTCAAACCTTGTAGTAAGGATTTGAAGCTTAGAGAATCTCACTGTAGCCGTTCCTTCATGTGCCGTTTGCAATGTCTCCTATGCATCATTGGTTGTTTCACACGTTGAAATGAGCTTGAATTGGTTCGCATCTACCCCGTTGAATATAACATTCAGCGCTTTAGAATTATTGTTCGCCAACTTGTCCTCTTCGGTTGACCAACTGGTTTCAGGCTTCAATATCTCCTTCTCTTCAGAATCCTTTGTAACTGGATGCTCCTAACCAGTCAAGACAGCTCTCCATGCCTTTTCATTGATAGCTTTGATGAACGCCTTCATGCGTGCTTTCCAATAAGAGTAGTTTGAACCGTCTAGGAGTGGAGGATGAGAAATGGAACCGCCTTCTTTCAAAAAATCCATACCTGCTGTAACAGACCAGTTCCCAAAACCTCACCAAGCAAACGGTTAGTGAACCACTCTGATACCAAATGTTAGGTCTGTTTTTATCGCTGGTGTCACAGAGAGTGTTATAATACTTTACTGTAACACTATTTTTAACAGAAAATCTGAAATTAAACCAGCAAAACAGCAATGCAGGAAAATAATACAGAAACGTAAAGGACACCAAAAAATGATATTGCAGTTCGGTGCGCACACCTACTCTGCGGGGCCACGCCCATACAGTGATTAATCCACTAAGTTCAAAAGATTACAAAGGACCGAACGGTCTTACACACTCAACGACTCCCTCCTTGACGATGTCGCCGTTGCCTAGAATCTCCTTAGAAAGCTTGATCAGTGAGCACCACTCGACTTGACGGTTTCCTCCTGAAACCCAAGAAATCCTCTCCCGAAGAACCAACTCAAAAGTGTTCTAGCAATTCGTCACAACACATCAAGCGACCCTTAACATTAAAATCTCATTTTGAGATTAACAAAAGCAATTTTTCTGATTTTAGCACTCTCTAAGTACAACACGTTCAGCACACCCACTTTCTGCCATTGCACCCTGATTCAAAAACCATCAGCTTCAAGATCGTCAGCCATTAATTCTCCCAAAGTCCACTCTTGATTTTCAGCAATCAAATCCTTTGATTTTCAGCCCTTAAGCATGACAACCAGATTTTTCTTAAGGCGTTCACCAATTTACAGTGCCAGCTAAACTTACCACCAATTTACAACCAATTTATCAAAAATAATTTTCAAACACTTTACCAAAAATAAGCCAACACAAAATGCACTGACA